GACCTGGGATGCCACGCCCCAAGCGGCGGCAACAAGTGGTGCCGAGAACCCAGGAACAATCTGGGAAGCAGGAATCGCCTGGGCAAGTGAACTGCAGCCGGAGCAGCAGGACTGTCTCTGGTGGGGAGGACGCTCCCAGAGGACCGTCAAGAGGGGAGAGTCTCACACTGAGAATCGGCGAATGAGGAAGGCTCGCGCCAGGCGCTGGCAAAGGAGGAAGGCTCGCACCTAGGACCAACGAAAGAGGAAGTCTCGCACCAGGGGCGGCGAAAGAGGAAGTCTTGTGCCAGGAATTGGCAAAAGAGGAGGTCTCGCATCGCAGCCCGCGAAAGAGGAGGTCTCACGTCGCGATTCAGCGAAAGAGGAAGTCTCGCACCGGGAGCTGGTGAAGGCGGAAGGCTCACGTCGATAACCAGTGATGGAGAGGATGGAGTCCCTTGCTAAGGTTGTTTTTAACAATTTACAGACAGTGGGGCATACATTGTGAGCTGGGAGATTTTTTCCTCACAGTGTCAAGGCTCCTGCATAGTGGGGTAATCGGGCAGCCGGAGGATATTTTCTGCCCGGAAGTATGGGATGATTGTACCGGGGCCCTAGCAGAGGAGGCTGCGTCCTCAGGCTCGGGGAGAAAGCTAAAATCATGGGGCAGGGTCATGCAGCCTCTGAAAAAGGTTCAGCAAGTTCAGCAGGAGTGGGGAAAGTGGAAGGCCACACAGGACTGCTTGCGGGAGGGGCCCTGGCAGGGTGTGGGGGTGGCTGTGCAAACTTCGGGTGATCATGAGTTTGCCGAGTGTGGGGATTTGCAGCCGCGGGAGTGCTCTTCGTGGCTCCCGAGCCCAGGCACCCCAACTACGGGGAAAAAGTGGTCATTTTGGGACGGGCTGCTAGAGGAAGTGGAGGTGCAGCTGTTGACTCTAAGGCGCAGGGGGCCACCATTGACTTGGAGTCCGAGGGAGCCTGGGTGGGGCCTCCGCCTTACGAGCCGCAGAGGCAGGGGGGGAGGGGTCACCATGGTGACCCGTGGCTGGTGGGGTGGCACGCCGGAGGTTTGAGCTGCTGGGCTCCCAACCAGCCGCGGCCAACAGCTGCCGCCTGGGCGGCGCAGGGAGGCTGGACCCTTCTGTGGGCTGGTGGCAAGCAGAGCCAGGCAGCGCGGTACCAACGTCGGGGCAATGCATCGCACCGGAGAGAAGAGCCGTGCGGGGCAGCGGGAGTCCTGCCCCGCCACCCTCCGCAGCAGCGGCGGCTGGGCGGTGCTGGGGGTGCTGACGGAGAACAGGCAGCAGCAGCAGCATCCCGGTGGCCAGGGTGCTGCTGTTATCAAGTGCTTCTCTGGCTTTGAAAACACCATCACTTCATCTAGAAAATTTGTAAAGCTTGTTCTGCAGGACTGAATCTTCAGATGCCCCCGTGGCCCGTATACCCCGCTTCCTGAAGGCCACAACAAATCGTCAAGCAGCCCGATGGCAGACCATACCGGGGTCATGAGGAACTCCGTGACTGAACTAAAAAGAGGCCTGCACAGAGAAGGTCTGGGGGAGAGGCTCAGCAGGAAAGGTTTCAGTCATGGCTCACAGTTTCAGAGGGATTCAATTGTATAATGGTTTGATTGGTCTTTCATCCTAAAGTTTCCTATTCATAAGAGTATGTAAGTGATGTCCATCAATTAGAGTTCAAACTCTGGCCAAGTTCTAGCTCTACTTGAATGGAATAATTGACAATCAGCCCAGATGTTTTCAGCATCAAAAAAGTACCATATATGACAGCTAAGCCTTTTCAAAGGGAATTTGGAGAAACATGAATCCGGACATGAGTTCTCCAGGTGTCTCTTGTTTTAAGGTTCATCAGCTGTCACAGACTCTGGGATGATAGTTCAGCTGTGTTATTATTATGTGTATTATCTGATTGATTTCTGATTGCTGCCATCTTACATTTCCCTATGACTGAAACAGAGCAGATCGATGTTTTGTTTTCACACCGGGACCCATTCTTCAGCATCCTGCTCCATCCAGATGGTGCTCCTCCAGTTGCATTTTACGTCCCAAGCATCAACAGAGAGAAGCCTTTACAAAAATGCCCTCGTGTCCACCTTGTTAGGCCCTCCTGCAGTAGTGTTCCTAGACTTTGATATTTGGGCCATACAGTTTAAACAAGTGTTTTCTAACCAGTTTTTAAAGAACAACACTAAAATTTTAGTGTTGTTCTTTAAAAACTGGTTAGAAAAAGTTAACATTTTGTTTGTTTGTTTAAGATGAGTTTGTTATGGTTATGTTGCATTGTTCAATTTCAGTACATTTTTACCAGTTACACATATTTACCAGTTGTCAGTTTAAACCTTTACATTTTCTATGTTTTTAATTAATCATAAAAGGGGAGGGGAAATGTGGGAGATTAGGGATGGGCCACAAGATCTCGCGTTGTTACAGGCAGACAGAACCCCTCCCCTTTACCGTTACTTAGCCCTGCATGTTGTTGACTGTTAACCCCTGTTATAAATGACCCTGCCTAACCGTTAATAAAGGCCAGATACCGTCCACCACATTGGTGTGTGCATGTGCTTGGTCCATGTAGAAAAGGTGCTGCCACCGAGCCGTCCTCGACCTGGGACGCCACACCCCAAGCGCTGGAAACAGGCAGCCAGTGTGGGGGGAGAGGGACAAGGGGGGATGGGTGTGATGGGGGATTTCAGGGATGGGGTCACACCACAGAGGGTTGAGAGGACACAGGGCAGAGGTGGGGGACCCCAAGAAAGGTGTCTGGGGGACATGGAGGTACCCAGGAAGGGGACCTGAGGAGGCTGTGGGGCCTCCCTGTGCCCATCCCCACACTCACAGCACAACCTGAAGCGAAGCCAGGCGCTGCTCTTCCTCAGGGCTTCCCACCCAGAGTGCACCTGGCAGCTGTAATTCCCCGAATGGGAGACCTCCACGGTGGGCACCAGCAGCTGCAGGGACCCCTGCGGGCCCCCCACCACTTGCCCGTCCCGGTAGAACACCTGCAGGAGGGGGGCTTAGGGCCGCAGGAGGCTCGGGCTGCTGAGGCAGCTGAGAGTCAGGGGAGACCCCTGGGTGGGTTCGGGGGGACCCTTCAGCACCAGCATCCAGACAAGCTCAGGGGAGAGGATGGGGGACTGTGGGCACAGTGACCCCGAGTGCCTCGGGAAGCGCTGTGGGGCTGTTGGGGTGGCAGCTGTGAGGTGCTCACCATGCACTGTCACCGGCGTTGACTCCTCCTATCGCCATGATACCCCATAGCTCACCCAGACCTTGCAGCAATAGCGGCCACTGTGGTTCAGCAGAAGAGGGGACAGGGACAGCTCCGTCCCATTGTGGAGCCCCCTCAGTTCCATCTTCTTGTGCTAGAATCAACTGATATTTCTCGCCTGTACCGGCAGCGCAGTGTCAGCATTACTCCCTCCAGCAAGTGTCCACGCTGGCACCTGCAGCACCACCTGGTCTGTGGAGCAGAGGGGTGCTGTCACATCACAGGGGTCTGGAGGGTCCTGATGTCACTGGAACCCCCATATTGGGTCACAGCCAGCACACCAGGCTTCCCCAATTTCAGCACAGGGGTTCCCCCATAGTGGGATGCTCTGGGATGTCCCTGTGTGTAGGGCATGGGCTCTGGTCACACTAGAGGGTGACCCATGGAGTGGAGGCCACCAGAGTCCTCAGGGCTCCTGTGGGTTCCAGGCTGGGGACACAAAACGCTCTCACTGTCTGAGACAATCATGGGGTGGCTGAGCCCACTGCCGGGTCTGTCACATGTGTAGGTGCCACTCTCAGTGACAGTGAAGTTGCTGCCTCCCTCCTGACCCCAGCGCTGCCCATCCTTGTACCAGGTGGTGGCACCAGCGGTCCCCAAGCCCTGGCAGGTCAGTGTCACCCGGTCCCACAGCACCGCCGGCATCCAGAAGGGCTCCACCAGGAGCTGGGTGGTCTGGGCACCTGAGGGTGACAGGGGACACCAGCCTGCCAGGGCCAGTGTGGGGCTGGGGACAGTGGGGTGGGGCCATGGCATCCGCCGAGGACTCACCAGCGAGGCCGAGGGTCTGGGCTGGAAGGGAGAAGGGACAGGGCTGGGTGGGGGTCATGGGGACACTGTGGACACCCCATGTTTGCACTTGCCACCTCCACCAGCCCTACAGCATCTGTTCCCATGGCCCTGTGCTCATGATCCCATTCCAATGACACCTGTCCTCCCAGCCCATCCCCATGCAATGTGGCCCTTGTCCCTGTCCCTGCATCCCTGTTCCCCTGTCCCCACAGCTACCCAAGCCCCAAGGCTCCTTCTGCCACATCCTTGTCCCCATATGTCTATTCCCCTGCTCCTGTCCCCACATGCCGGTTCTCTGGTTCCTGTCCCTAAAGCCACCCCACAACTCTGGTCTCACTGGGCTCCATGCCCTGCTCTGGCTCTGCAGGCCTTGGGGACCTCAGGGGACCCCACAGCCCCCCTGTGCCCGCTCCCCTCCCCATCCCCAGGGTGTCAGGCCCCTGCCCAGGGCACTCACCCCACAGGAGCAGCGCCACCTTCCCGGCCATCCCAGTGTCCCCAGCCATGTGCACTGGCTGTCACTCACTGCTGTGGTCACTGCTCCCCTGGGTGGTGGCTCTTTGGCCAAAGGGGAAGGAAGTGAGGTCATGTCCATCCCCAGGTGTAGGTGGCCCTTGGTGCGGGCAGAGTGGGGAAAGGCGTTGGCCAGTGTGGGGACATGATGGGATAGTCTGGGGACATGATGGGGGATGGTGTTTCCAGGAGTGGGGGGCTCATGGGATGTGGGGAACCAAGGATGGGTGTCCAGCAGAATGGGGGTCCAGGGGAATTTGGGTCTCCATGCCTGGGGGCATTCAGGGATGAGGGTGCTGTGGGAACATGGTCCCCAGGGATTTGGGGTCATGGCATGTGGGTGCCAGGGTTGGGGATGCAGGGAGAAAAAGCCGACCCTTGGGAATAGGGGTTCTGGGGGAAGAAGCAGCCCATGGGATGGGATCAAGGCAATGGTGGTGCTGGGCAATGTCAGTCCTGGCATGGAGGTCCCAGGGAGGAGAGACCAAGGCAATGGGGGTCCCATGGTTGGGTTCCCAGGGGAATGGGGGTGCCAGGGATGGGCACTGGCTGGGTGGGCACGGGGGTCACAGCTCCTTCCTGGGGTGCCTCAGATTTTGGGGTGACTCAGAGCCCAGCACAGCCCCCACCCTGCAGCACCCCAGGGCTGTCCTGGTAGGCTCTGGGTGTCTGCCCCACACACCCCTGGGCTTTTTCCTGTCACCTGCAGTTTCCTGGTTCAGCCATCCTAAGGAACACCTGAGCAGGTAACAGCTCAGGGGATCCCAGGAAAAGGAAAAAGGGGGTGGGGGGTGGGGGGGTGCAGGCAGTGACTGGGGGCCTGTGGGGGATGGGGCTTTATGGCTGTTATCCTCCAATACTTTCACTTTCTCTTTCCTGCAGCAGAAGGTTGAGCTTGTTTTTGCTGAGGCAAGGACCTGGATTCTGTCCTGGGGGGCATATCCAGAGGTTGTTTTTGCTGAGGCAAGGACCTGGATTCTGTCCTGGGGAGGCATATCCAGAGGGGTCCAGCCCTGAGGAAAAAGGGCAGCTCTGCTGTGCTGACACCTGGGTCTTGTCCCAGGATCTTGTTCCAGGGGCATCGTCCTCCTTCTGTGGGTGCCACGTCTTTTGAGATTCCTGTCACAGAGGTGGCACATCCTGGGGACCTCTGTCCTGGGGGGGCCCTGCGCATTCCCACTGTCCCCAGTAGGGCCTGTGACCTCTGGGTTGCCCAAACTTAAGGTGTGCCTGTTACAACGTTGCCCTGATGATGGTAAATCCCAGAAAAAATTTGGTTGAATTCCGTGGTGCCCAAATGCTTGAGACCAAATTATACATCCAAAGAAAAAAGGCAAAATATTTCCTACAACATTTTTCCAAATAAAAAAAAAAAAACCACTCTGCAAAAATCAACCTGACAGGGTATAAAATGCTTTGGTTTATAGAATCCTTTTAATCATTGCTTTCCCAACAAGTCACTCATAATAAAATCAGAACCAAATTGCAAAGAAATGAGACTTTTTGGTTCCCTTTAGCAGTCCCCTGCTGCATCCCACAGCAGGATTTTCTTGTGGATAACACAGAATGTGGAATCTCCCTGAGTGTCCAACAGCTCCATGGGATTGTTCCCTGCCTGCTGGGCAGCACCCCAGCCCATAAGGAAGCCTTTTCTTGGCCCATATTTAGGAACTCTTCCCATTTTCCCCATTCCCACCCTGAAACTGGATTGACTTCCCATGGATTCCACTCCCAAAAGGGGGAGAAGCTCTGTTCATCCTTGGGACAGTGCACAGGAATCTGTGGAAATGCCCCTGTGTGCCTCAGGGTCTGATTCCCTGGTAAATCCACTCCAGCCTGCCCTGAATTCCCCTGCCTGGGCACTCCCTGCTCCTGCTGTGACACCCCTGTTCCCCAGCCCCTCGTGTGCAGCCCCTGTTCAATATTTCCACACTTTCCCCCCTCTTCTGTTGTGCACATCCAGAACCCAAACATTCTTTCTGGGAGGTTCCAAAGGTCTGCAGGTTTTGATCAAGAAGGAGGGTCCAAGTTAGGTTGTTGAACAGACAGTTATTGTCTTTGTAGTAGCTCTGAAGCTGTCTCAGTCCCTTGATTAGAGGCACAAAATGATCAATTGCTGCATTTCTGGGCTGGTTCTGTCGCAGCTGCACCTGCAGGGGGGGTTTCCCGCCACACTGCTCTGAAAACCATTAAAGGCCCTCGCAGAGCCACTGGTTGGGCTTCCTTGGGGTTTTGTGCTTCTTGCAGGGCTGAGCAAACCACAGGCAGGACCTTTTTTCCCCCACAGAGTTCTCACCTTTGCAGCAGCTCTAAAGCTGCCAGAATCAAAGCCAAGGGGGCAGGGGGGACCCACCTGGGGCTGGGCAGAGCAGGGCTGGGCAATGGCCATCCCTGTGCAGTGGGGCTGGGCCATGGCTGGGCCCCACCCTTGGATTGACAGGCGTCCCCGGGATGTGCCACCCCAGGGACAGACACCCAGCCAGGAATGTGCAGGGACATTTCCAGAACTGCCACCCCCTGGGACAGGACCCCCCATGCCAGGATGTGTCACTCCCTGGACTGGTTTCCCCCGGGTGAACTCCAGAACAGGGACCTTAGAGGACAGAACCCCCCTGGATGTGCCCACCCAGGAACAGAGACTGCCCCCCTTTCCCATCTGACTCTCAGTGCAAACGGCCTCTTCCCTCTCCTCCATGACAAACAAAGTGTTGAGGGAGCACAGCCCAACACCTCCATCCCCCAAAGACTCCCCACCCTTCCCTGCATCCCCTGCTCCTCCTTTTCTTCCTTTCCCTTGGGTCCCCCAACCCCTTCCTATCTTAGCTGCTTCCCAGGATTCCTAAGCCAGGAACCAGGGCTGAGGGGATATGAGAAAAAGTAAGGAGGATAAGGAAAAAAGAGAAATCAAGAGAGGAAAAAGTCAAGGGCCAGGGAGGACACAGAGGCAGAGCTACCCAGGACCCTCATGCAATACCTGGCAAGGAAATGAACACCCCAGGGGTGATTTTGCAGGGCCCCACATCACCCCAAAATCTGAGGCATCCAGGGAAGGAGCTGTGACCCCTGTTCCCCCCCAGCCACTGCCCATCCCTGGCACCCCCATTTCCCTGGGACCCCAGTCTTGGGACCCAATTTCCTTCTGTCTTCCCTTCCCTGAGACCCCCATCCCTGGACTGCAATTCCCCAGGATCGCCAACCCCAAGGAACCCCATCCCAGTAATTCCAGTCCCTGGGACATCCCTTCCCTTGGGGACCTTGAATTCCCTAGGGCCCCCATTCTCACAGGGACCCCCTTTCCCCTGGCACCCCCATGCCATGGCCCCCATCCCATGATCAGAAATCCCTGGAGGCCACGTTGTTCTGGGATCCTCATTCCCAAGTCTGAGTCCACCCAACCTTTGGGACCCCCCTTCCCCTGGACACCCATCCCTGGCTCCCTACACCACCTCAGCCTCCAAATTCTGGCAACACCATGTCCCCATCATGTCCCACCATCCCACCCATGTCCCACAGTGTCACCACCCTGCCCCCATCTTGTCCCCACCCTGCCCCCACCAAGGGCCACCTACACCTGGGGACGGATGTGACCTCGCTTCCTTCCCCTTCATCTGAAGAGCCGCCAGCCAGGGGAGCGGTGGCCACAGCAGCGAGTGACAGCCAGTGCACATGGCTGGGGACACCGGGATGGCCGGGAAGGTGGCGCTGCTCCTGTGGGGTGAGTGCCCCGGGCACGGGCCTGACACCCCGGGGATGGGGAGGGGAGGGGGCACAGGGGGGCTGTGGGGTCCCCTGAGGTCCCCAATGCCAGCAGAGCCAGAGCAGGGCATGGAGCCCAGTGTGACCAGAGTCATGGGGTGGCTTTAGGGACGGAAACTGGGAAACTGGGATGTGGGGACAGGAACAGGAGGAAAGAGATGTGAGGACAAGGATGTGGCAGAAGGAGACTTGGGGCTTGGGTAGCTGTGGGGACAGGGACAGGGGAACAGGGATGCAGGGACAGGGACAAGGGCCACATTGCATGGGATTGGGCTGGGAGGACAAGTGCCATTGGAATGGGATCATGGGCACAGGGCCATGGGGATGTGGCCATGGGGACAGGTGCTGTAGGGCTGGTGGAGGTGGCCAGTGCAAACATGGGGTGTCCACAGTGTCCCCATGACCCCCACCCAGCCCTGTCCCTTCTCCCTTCCAGCCCAGACCCTCGGCCTCGCTGGTGAGTCCTCAGGGGATGACATGACCCCACCCCACTGTTCCCAGCCCCACACTGGCCCTGGCAGGCTGGTGTCCCCTGTCACCCTCAGGTGCCCAGACCACCCAGCTCCTGGTGGAGCCCTCCTGGAGGCCGGCGGTGCTGTGGGACCGGGTGACACTGACCTGCCAGGGCTCGGGGACCGCCGGTGCCACCACCTGGTACAAGGATGGGCAGCGCTGGGGGCAGGAGAGAGGCAACAACTTCACTGTCACTGAGAGTGGCACCTACACATGTGACAGACCCGGCAGTGGGCTCAGCCACCCTGTGAATGTCTCAAATGGTGAGGGCGTTTTGTGTCCCCAGCCTGGCAGCCAGGGGAACCCCAAGGACTGTGGCTGGCTCCACTCCATGGGTCACCCTCTAGTGTGACCAGAGCCCATGCCCTACACACAGGGACATCCCAGAGCATCCCACTATGGGGGAACCCCTGTGCTGAAATTGGGGAAGCCTGGTGCGCTGGCTGTGACCCAATATGGGGGTTCCAGTGACATCAGGACCCTCCAGACCCCTGTGATGTGACAGCACCCCTCTGCTCCACAGACCAGGTGGTGCTGCAGGTGCCAGTGCGGGCACTGCTGGAGGGAGAAACGCTGACACTGCGCTGCCGGTACAGGCGAGAAATATCAGTTGATTCGGTGTTCTTCTACCACGGGGACACGGAACTGGGGAGGCTCCACAACAGGACGGAGCTGTCCCTGTCCCCTCTTCAGCTGAACCACAGTGGCCGCTATTGCTGCAAGGCCTGGGTGAAGAACAGGGTATCATGGGGATGGGAGGAATCAATGCCGGTGATAGTGACAGTGCATGGTGAGCACCTCACAGCCACCACCCCGACAGCCTCACAGTGCTTTCCCAGGGACTCAGGGTCACTGTGCCCACAGTCCCCCATCTTCTCCCCTGAGCTTGTCTGGGTGCTGGTGCTGGAGGCTCCCCCTGAACCCACCCAGGGGTCTCCCCTGACTCTCAGCTGCCTCAGCAGCCCGAGCCTCCTGCGGCCCCAAGCCCCCCTCCTGCACGTGTTCTACCGGGACAGGCAGGTGGTGGGGGGCCCGCAGGGGTCCCTGCAGCTGCTGGTGCCCACCATGGAGGTCTCCCATTCGGGGAATTACAGCTGCCAGGTGCACTCTGAGGTGGGGGCCATGCGGAAGAGCAGCGCCTGGCTCCGCGTCACGGTGCACAGTGAGCGCAGGGATGGGCACAGGGAGCCCCCACAGCCTCCACGGCTCCCATACCTGGCTACCTTCATGTCCCGTAGACACCTTTCTTGGGTTCCCCAGCCTCTGTCCATTGTCCCCTCGCCCCTCCGTGGTGTGACCCCATCCCTGACAACCCCATCACACCCACCCCCCCATCCCTATCCCTCCACACCGGCTGCCAGCACCTCCCTCCAGCCTCAGCCCTGTCTGTGTCTCCCCAGCGCCTGTGGCCAATGCCACCATCACCCTCATTCCCCTGTCACACCAGGTGCACCCAGGTGACTCCATGACCCTGCACTGCTTGGTGCAGGTGGGCTCTGCCCCTGTCACCTTCACCTGGCTGCACAACGGGCAGGAGGTGGCCCGGGGTCCCCTCCTGCAACTCGGGGCCTTAGATGAAGGACATTCAGGCACCTACCAGTGTGTGGCCACCAACCAGCTGGATGGGCACCAGGCACTCAGCCCTGAGCTGGCCCTGGAGGTGACACCGTGGAGACACAGGGATACAGGTAAGGTTACACAGGGTCACCTGGGAGTGCAGGACCCTTGGGGTGATGGGTGACCCTGATGTGTCCCCCTCTGTTTCTTGCAGTGGCCGCAGGGGTCGGTTGGACCCTTTTCTTCCTGCTCCTGCTCGTGGGTGTCATTGTGGCCTGGCACCGCTGGCACCGTGTGGGTGGGTGACAATGGGGGGACAGGGGGTCCTAGGGAGCTGTAGAGGCCCCCATGTTGGGGAGCAATAGGGCGGAACCCACAGCCCCAGAATTGTGACGTTGGCTGGGGGTCCTGTAGGGTTTGGGGAGGTGCTGGAGGGTCCTGCATGAATGTTGGGAGTTCTTTCAGGGGCCCTGGGGGCTTCTTGGGGGAGTCTCTGTCCCTGGTGGGCTTTAGGTTCTGGATGCTGAGTTGGTTGGGGGCACTGGGGAGCTTCATGAGTTCTGGGGGGGCTCCAGAGATGCTTGGGGCTCCTAATGGAAATTGAAGGTCCTGTAGGGGTCAGGAATCCTGAGAGGCATCAGGGCCCTGGGGACCCTACAGTCATCCCTCCCCTCTTTTCTTTGCAGCTGCCAGGAAGCACCAGGAAAGGTGAGTGTGGGTGTCCAGCCATTACTCCCCCACCCCACCCCACAACTCTCCATCCCCTCCCACATCCCCTTTATCCCCTCAGGCCCCCCCCTGAGCCCCTGGCCCCTCCACAGGAGGGGGAGGTGCTGTACACCCACGTTATGAGCACCAAACAGGCACAGCGTGAGTACTGTGGATGGGGGGCACAGTGACACGTCACCCACTGGTGTCACTCCCCCACCTTGGTCTCCACAACCAGTGTCTCTTGCAGGGCTCCCCCGCGTCACTACCCCTCAGGCACCTCAGGTGACCTACGCGGAGCTGTGGGGACCCCACGGGAGACCACAGGAGTCCAGTGACATCAATGAGATTGTGCCATGACACGGGGGGAACTGGGGGGCACTGGGGGTCCCCACCCATGGGTACCCACTCTTGTGTGTGCTGCCACTAAAAACTGCCCCTCTCCCTCCCCGTGGGGGCACAAAGATCCCAAAGGGCTGAGAGAAGAACAATTTCCTGATACAGCAATGAGAGAGAATAAAATCAACAGAAACAGCAACAAGGTTCAGAGGCAAAATGGTCACAAAGGAATGATTTCCTGGGAAAGCTCCCAAAACAGAGGCAAATCCCAGATGATTCCCCCAGCATGTTTCCTCCACCAGAGGAACCTGGCAGGGCCCTGGACCTTCCTTGCTCTGATGGCCAAAGCAAGCCTTCAGGAGGATCTGGATTCTCTTGTCCCCTATCCCAAATCCCTCCTCTGCCGTGTTCCCCACACGAGGGTGTCACAAAGGCCCTGTGGGGGTTCTGGAGCCTCCACCTTTTCCAGGGCAGTCGGGATCAGGCCATGGCACAGGGTGGGGTGTCAGAGACAGGAAAAGTTTGATGTCTGGAGACATTTTGGAACAGCTGTATGTGGTAGGGGTGGGTCAGGCCTTGATTTTGGTGAGACAGGGCCCTGTCTGTCCATCAGTCTGTCAGCCATGGCACACTGGGTACAGTGTGATGCTCTGCCAAAGCCAGCTCCTGAGTGGCCGGGTGACCAGAAGTGCCTGCTGGGGAGAGGATCCTTGGTGGCCCAACTGGCTTAAAAGGCAGAGCATGAGATGGCCAAGTCCCTCATCCTCTCTTCATTTGGGGTGTCTTTCCCATCCACACTGAAACCCAGGTGTTGTTAAGCATCTTTGTTTACAAGAGAAATATCTACCAAGGAAAGTAGGAACATTGCTGGAATAAGAAGACCCATCTCTAAAAGTATTTTTATTTCAAAAATGATGGGGACTCCAGGCAAAAGAGTATGAAAATGAATAACCATTATTTATGAGGAAATTTATAAAATAGAAGAGAACAAACAACACAAAACCAGGACTTTCCCTTCTGCTCAGGGCTTTGTTAGTCTTTGGTGCAGTTATAACCGCGGCCAGCAGGGGCCGCTGCAGGGAGCACTCCCGGCCAGCAGGGGGCGCCCCGCTCCAGCTCCATCCCCTCAGGGGCCATGGCGGCCTCGGGCGGGAGGGAGGAGGGCAAATCGCTCCTTTTGCAAACTCACGGCCACCAATCGGTCCCGGCACCACCACCGGCAGCGGGCAGAGGCCGCCAAGGCAGCAGGTTGGATCCCAGTGCCCAGCGGCAGCGTAGCACTGTCCCGGGGCCTGGCACACACCCTACACAGCACCCGCGACCACTCTCCATGATCCCGAATGGAAGGAAGGCAGCTCCTGACCCCAGGCAGGTCTCGGGTCCACAGCAGCGGCTCTGGTGGCTTTATGCCACAATTCCTGCAAACCCTCAGTTTTTCACTCTCTTTTCCTCCTTCAGCCCTGGCACAGCAGCTCTGGGAATGTAGAATTCCTATGGGATGTTGACTAACTCAGGGGCCTCCAGAGCACGTTTGGAGTTCCTGCACTTCGTGGGCCACTGCTGATCCCAACACAGAAGCCACAAGGGGAGGAGGAAGAAGAAGGGAGCAGAGCCACAGCCCCAAGGGCTCTGCAGCTGCAGCTGGGGCACAGGGACAGCCCAGGCTAGAAGCAGTACCTTGGGAGGGAAAAATGGGGCAAAATTGGAGCTGGTTGGGCCAATCCCCCTGTTCTGCTCTGGGAGCTGCAGACTCTTAAGGAGGTGTTATAATTAGGGCTGGGGTTCCTAAAGTTCAGCCATGCTCCTAAAGCATCTCTGTGCACAAAATCTCGGCCCCACTGCCACTCCTGAGGACGTTGGGCTACACAAGGCAGCATTAGACATAATTTGGGGGTTAGATGCTGCCAGCTCTGCCCACAAGGAGCTTTTTTGGCTGCCCAGAAGGTTTTTGCTGGTGCTGGGGATGATTCAGTACCTGTGCCATGTGGCCGCTGCTTCCTGCTGGCTGTCAGGGAAGCCTGAGCTGGAGCAGTGGCTGAGGCAGGAGCGGCTGGAGCAGGGGGCCCATGGGAACAGCACCTGGACATGCAGGTGGAGCAGGAGTGCTGGGAATTCCTCAGGGTGCTCAGGTGAGGCCCACGGGGCTGGGCCATGGTGGGGCACCACTTGCCATTCCTGCTTCCCGCAGATTTTGGGACAGAGCAGTGACACCCATCGGGCTCCCAAACCCCTCAGGGCTCGGGCACAGCCTCACAGAAGGTCCTGGCCCAGGCCTTGGGGATGTATCGGGTGCTCCCGGGTTCGTTCCCAACAAAGGGCAGTGCTCCAGGAGTCGTCAGCACATCCCAAAGGAGCAGCCCGGGGCTGCTGGAGCCCGAGTGCTGCGGGCAAGGATGGCGTGAGGGAGCCGGGCCCCGCACAGCCGGTGCTGCCCCAGGAATGTCTCATCCTGCAGGAGCTCGGCAGCCTCTGCTGGTGCTAATGCCTCAGTTCTGCTGTGGGAGCTGCAGACCCTTAAAGAGGTGTTGCAATTAGGGTTCCTGAAGTGTTCCTGAAGTTCAGCCATGCTCCTAAAGCATCCCTGTGCACAAACACAGGGCTCTGCTGCCTCTCACTGGGATTTTTGGCTACACAAGGCAGCATTGGGTAACATTTGGGGCTCAGATGTACCCAGCTCTACCAACAAGGAGCTTTCTTTACTGCCAGGAAGGTTTTGCTGGTGCTGGGGATGATTCAGTGCCTGTGCCATGTGGCTGCTGCTTCCTGCTGTCCGGCTGGGAACCCCGAACTGGAGCAACAGCTGAGGTGGGAGCGCCTGGAACAGGTGACCCACGGGAACAGCACCTGGACATGCAGGTGGAGCAGGAGCACCAGGAATATCGCAAAGTGCTCAGGTGAGGCCCATGGGGCTGGACCATGGTGGGGCACCACTTGCCATTCCTGCTTCCCCCAGATTTTGGGATAGAGCAGTGACACCTATGGGGCTCCCAAACCCTTCAGGGCTCAGGCTCAGCCGCACAGGAGGTCCCAGGGATGATTTGGGCGCTCCAAGGCTCGTTCCAGACAAAGGACAGCACTCCGGGAGAGGTCGGCACATCCCGAAGGAGCAGCCTGGGGCTGCTGGAGCCCGAGTGCTGCAGGCAAGGACGGCATGAGGGAGCCGGGCCTCGCTCAGCCGGCGCTGCCCCAGGAACATCTCATCCTGCAGGAGCTCGGCAGCCTCTGCCGGTGCCGGCCCCGGGGCTGTCGGGGGGCGCGGCCGGAGGGGCCGGGGAGCAGCGGGTGGGAGGGACCGGGACCCCCCTGGGGAGCCCCGAGCGTGGAGGGAGCGAAACGGCGGAGGGGAGACCCCGGGACAGGGGGGAGCAGAGACCCTGCGGTGGGGTCTACGGAAAGGAGGGACCGCAATGGTGGTCCCGGAGCACCGGGAAGGGGCCCAGCTGCCATCGCGCTGCGAGTGCCGGGACGGTCACGGGGTGTCCGAACCGACTGTGGCAGCGTGTCCGAAGCCACTGTCGCGATGTGTCGGGACCGAGCGTTGCCAGGGTAAGGCCCCCCCAGCTGCGGGAAGTGGAGGGGTACCCTGGAAGGTACAGAGCAGACCCTGTCTATTCCCTGTGTCCTGTGCAGGTGAGGAGGGCAGGGATGGAGCAGCTCTGGGAACACCTGGAATCCAGACAGGGTCACTCCCCACAGCCCCACCATGGCAGCAAGGCACAGCCCCTGCTCGATGTTTCCACACTTTTCCATCTTGTCTGGCAGCTGAGCCAGAACCCTGTGGCAGCCACTCTCTGGTCACAGAGAGCAGCAAGCACAACTTTCCCAGGCCTTGTCCTGGTGAAGCTGTGAGAAGATCAGTGAAAAGAATGAGAAACAATTCTTATCTTCCCTTGCTGCACCCATTGTTGTGAACATATGAAATGTGTTATGGAGATTTGTTTCCCAGTGGGTGATTTCTTAATTGGCCACTGGTGATGGTGTTTTAATTCCAAGGACCAATTAGGTTAAAGCTGTATAGGACTGTCTGCAAGGGCAATGAGTTTCTTAATAACTACAGTACAGTAAAGCGATTGATCAGCCTTCTCGAATTATGGAGTCAGTGCTAATTATTAATTGGGAGGGACCCATGCAACAACAGAACTCAAACATTCTTTCTGGGAGGTTCCAAAAGGCTGCTGGTTTTGTTCAAGAAGAAGGTCCAGGTCAGGTTGTTGAGCAGATCAGTTTGGGATTTGCAGTAGTTCTGGATTTCACTCAGTCCTTGGGAAAAAGGACAAGATGATCAACTGCTGTATTTCTAGGCTGGTTCCCTCGCAGCGGCCCCTGCAGGGGGGGTTTCCAGCCAGCCCTGCTCTGAAAACCATCAAAGGCCCTCACAAAGCCACTGCTTGGGCTCCCTTTGGGGTTTGTGCTTCTTGCAGGGCTGAGCAAACCACAGGCAGGCCTTTTTCCACCCACTGAATTCTCACCTCTGCAGCAGCTCTAAAGCTGCCAGAATCAAAGCCAAGGGGGCGGGGGGGACCCTCAGGTGCTGGCAGCCACCTGGGGCTGGGCAGAGCAGGGCTGGGCAATGGCCATCCCTGTGCAGTGGGGCTGGGCCATGGCTGGGCCCCACTCTTGGATGGCCACTGGCTTCAAGGAGCAGGAGTTTGGGAGCTCCTTCCTGCCTGGGGCTCCATTCCCCAGCTGCTCTTGCTGGCTCAGATCCTGCAGGGGACGAGCAAGAATGGAAAAGTCTGGACTCCCCCATCCCCGGAGCTGCCATCCTCCAGGACAGGAGCCCCTTGTCCAGCATGTGTCCCCCCTGGGACAGGATCCCCCCAGGACAGGAGCCCCCTGGATGTGCCCCCCCAGGACAGAATCTGCCCCCCCGCCCCGTGACACTCAGCACAAACGGCCTCTTCCTTCTGCTGCAGGAGAGAGAAAGTGAAAGCGTTGGGGGGCACTGTCAGACACCCCCATCCCCCACAGTCTCCCCAGCCCCCCCTGCAGTCCCCTC